CGCCTATTGTCTACCTAATTTTTATTTCAATCGATTTAACATTCCCATGCATTTGAAGGGCAGTTTACAGGAGAGAATTTGGTACCAAAATAGCAACTTAAGATTTTTTTCAGAGTTCAACAACAGAAATCTGAAATAGTCTTTACATTTATGCTAATAATACAGGTGGTGTAAAAATATAAATTAACGTTTTCCTAAACAAATAAATGTGGAATGTTTGTGTTACTTTACTTAATTATCGTTTTTCTTTGTGGAAGAAATATTAATATAAATGTTAAGTCTTGATAAATAAGTTTCCGTCATGCATGCACATCTTTATCACAGCGTCCACTATGGCCAAGCGATTTGCAGTCGATTGTTGCAAAGGTTTATAGGTTTTTCTGCTTAAAAAAGACAGAGGTAAAACTTTCATTAGTTTAGAAAGAGTTTATTACAGAACTTGTAGAGCTGTTGGCATGTCTTACCAACAAGTTTACAATATTGTAAACAAATCAGACAAGACAGGGACTGTCTCAAATGCAAAACCGGACGTAAAACCATCCTTGACAACTTTGACAAGGGAGTGCTTAGGACGGGCGGTCTCGATCTTTATGAGAAGAAGAAAAATATATATATTCTAAAGAAGCTACACCAGTGACTCTGTTAAATCTTTGGCCAATGTTCACAACTAGATTAAACTGACCGAATTACATTCATATTTTTCAATGAAATATACTGTTGACATGCAAAACATTTATTAAAACGTTGCACATTTCTACAATCAATCGATAAGATAACACAAGTGATAGGATTCTTTCCAATGTACAGTAATTCAGTATGTTTATTTCAAAACAAACACACATACACAAATGATCCCTTACATAACTGATCACATTATGCTTTCACGTACACATATTCAACATTTTGCAGAAAACATCTATTGAGATGACCCTAAAGCCCGGCGTGTGCTCAGGTGTCAATTTCACCTGTCGACACCGTGCATGCTGATGACGTAACACAGGCAGTTAATGTTTGTTTCAAATAACGTCCAACTACCCCTTATTTTTCTAAGTTTTGGTATTTTCATCAGTAAAAACACATTTTAGAGCATGTCTCAAAATTTATTACCTCGGTCTACATTAGGTAGATGTTTCTTGAAGTGATATTTGTTATTAAGTAACTGTAATGCCTCTGAATTTTAAATATAAGTCAAAAGCATTTTCTAGCATTTCCGACAGAACTTTAGGATTATTAGACCAAATATAAAGACGTACATTGACTAGTATCTACATTCTGGTAAGTGGACGTTAACCACGTTGAATGTAGCAAAGAGATTTATCGCGCGAGTATTGTAAACCGACCCCACCCGGCTTCCATGGAAGAAATCGTCATGTTACAAGTTGTGTCATGCAAAATCCTTTTGGTCATGATTCAAATACATATTTAACTACTGAGTAGAAAGTAGTTTTGATTTTCAAACTAGATGAAAACAAACCATAATCTCATTAATTCTTTAACAGACTTTAGCCCCGGACGTCACAATTTTAAAAATGGCAGAGCCCTGTCGCGAACATTAAGCCAGTCTGAGAATAAATGCTATTTAGGTTTGTTTTCACCGAGATAAAATCTACTTTCTACTGGTAGTGAAATATGTATTTGATTGATGGACAATATGATTTTGCATGACATAGCTTATAGCATAACAATTTCTCTTGTGGAAGCGAGGTGGGTGTCAATATGACACTACTTACAATATTATTGTCACTTCCACCACAACCTCGCTTCCGAGGAAGAAATCATTAAGTTACAAGTTGTGTCATGGAAAATCGTTTTGGTCTTCAATCATATACATATTTTCCTACAACTAGTAAGTAGTTTTGATTCTTTAACTTCCGTGAAGCGATCTGAACGCAAGTAAGATATTGTTTCAGGCTTCCACAACGCTCGCTTTGCACTCACAAACATAACACATTTAGCACGAACTACAGGGTCCGGTGGAAATCAGGGCATGGTGACACCATCACCCGACCCCTAGGAGCAATTTGACGGCAACGCAACGATTTGGCATGTCTTTGTTGACGTCGAGAAAATCAGCAAAATGACGAGCTTGTTACACATTTGATATACAACTTACTGAAAATGCAGAGTTACGTGACCTCTCTGTGGTTTCGTTGGCGGGCGAGAGTGAAGCAGGCAACTTTTTGGCAACTTTTGATCGCTCGGTATTAATTAACCACAATTTTTTTAAAAAAGGAAAGTGGTGCTCCGCTTAAGACTAACCGCACATCTTTCATATGTAATGGTTAAAACAGTACAAAAACAAAAGTTTATTTGTTCTTTAACACCTGAATAATTATTTTCCAACATTGCATAGCCTGTGGCCATGGCAACAACATTCTGATAGAAGCAAATACAATACTGGTAAATCTTACTCAAGTGATGCCGATGTGACTTAAAATCGTAACTCACTCACCCACTAACTGAACACACTTAGCATCCTGATCACAGAACAGAGCAACAGTTTTGTCTTCAAGCCCTAACTTGTCTGTAGAATTGGGTTTATTGGTAGACTTTAGTCTCAACATATGGGCTATCAAACTTTGTAGGATCCATTCCAGACAGTTAAACCAAGGGCACTGTGCCTCTATGATTCTAGTAGGCCTACTTACAAGTTTGTCAAGCTGACAGTTTTATGGTTTTATGGTGTTGACAGCTTGTATGTCATGGATGTATTATCAAGTTTTCATACATCTACAAGACTCATAGCAGTATTATGTTCTGTGAGATCATTTGAGAACATGGTAGATTACTATGAACAGTGATGAATCATGATGATTATTGTTTTCACACACGTAATCATTAACATGGTAATGTTTTAACTTAGCGGGAAGTTATTGTTCTTCGACTTATTTACAAGAATTGACTTCAACAGCAATTTTGCACTGGATACTCAGAAAGGAAAGAAATGAAATACATTCCTGATATTTCATATTAACCTAATAAGGTTAGGGTTTGGGTATACAGTCGAGCCCTGTTTACATATTTCCGGAAATCCCGCCCTCCTCACGAGTTTTTAGTGAAACGAAACTTTTCATCTTTAAATGTACTCACGTACTCGGACTCCGCGCTTCCGGACCCGGACGATGATTTTTCAATCCAATCCCTATTGAGAGTTGACCCGATTACCCGGAAGGCCTACTTACTGACTGTGAGGTTATGCTTACCGAACAACTGATTATTGTGTTCACTGCTATATCTCGGCAGTCGTTTGATGTGTGTCTTTGTTAATTACTAGTACTTGTCAACACACACCCCATGCGGTACGATGTGGCAGTGAGGAAATTCATCTAAGAGTCTTGTAAGCACTGAATGCATCTAACAGATAATATAATTAGTGTTGGAAATTGCTTGCAATCTCACAGTTGATAATTTATTCATTACCAGTGAGCAATCATAGAAACAATTGGTTAGCGTCATTTCTCAGATTTTCCTATTCAGATGTTATTGCAGATAAGTATAACATGGTTCTCTGTTTTTGTTTTTATTTATTTATAAACTACGCAAATTGCTTTTGCAAATTTCACATCCAATTTAAAATGTTGCAACTTGCTTCTTTAAAGTGATGACTAATATATCATGAACATAAACTTCCTGGAGTCTTCAAGAAATATTTAGTCATGACTTTTCAGTTAGTGAAGTGAGTTTTTTAAGAGTTGAACAAGTTTTCAGGCCCTGACAACTTCGAAGATATGTTCCATCGTCAAGTGTTGTAAACTCTAAAAGAGTACATGTAGTTCCAAAATCGTTTGTGTTCGATAATGAGACAATATGATTGATTGCTTGGTCGTTTGATCACTGCGACCAATCTTCGATTATTTCAGTTACTTGGAACACCACTAAATACAATGCATTGTCATGATTCTGTGGTCAGGACTTGAGCATGGCTAGTAAATCTGAAGTGAAAGAATAAATTTTCATTGTGCAACTCCCGAACATGTCACTTGGTAAATTCAAATAGGTGGACAACTCGCTATCCGGACGGTTTCAGACGTAGCTAAAACGTCCGTGTAAACAGGGCTCGACTGTATGGTTGTATCAAGGACTTCCTCCAATCCGCCCATCCGTCCGTCCAAAGACAAGTTTGTTCAGCCAATAGCTTGAAAACTATTGGTTGGATTGTTTTCAAATTTAGGGACCACCTTTTTAGTCTTAATTCCTTTAAGAATTTCAGCAAATTAAATATTTCAACTTTGAAATTATTTTCAAGCATTACCTTGAAAAGTATTGGTCAAAATGTTTTCAAATTTGGAAAACAGCTTCTTTGTCTGAAGCAGAGTGGAAAGTTTGGTTCCCATTTTCTAATTTTTAAAGACTTTTGCATAAACCAAAGGGAATTTTTGTTCAACCAATGACTTGAACACATTTGAATGGATTGTTCTCAAATTTTGGGATCACCAGATATTTCAATTTGGACATTTTATCAAATATCAACATGGTTCATATTTAGGATTAGAATTGGTCTTGACTGGATTAATTACAGCCTGCTGCATATAGCTGGTATATTGCTGAGTGTGGCGTTAAGCAACAGACAAAACAACAAACAACAACCAGGAATAAACTGGTTAATTGCAGATTTTCTCAGATAATTTACAAACTAAATAGTCTTTTTTTCTTTATTATTTATTTTCTATTATTTTTATGATAATCATGACATTTGATCTTTCAATTTATTATAATACTTTTGAGCTGATATATACAATCAGTGACCTCCCTAATATTTAAACCATTAAAAATAGTAAACATGTGAGCAGTTCCTCTGAAGTACTGTGTCGGCCAGCTCACCTGTAGAACCAGTGGTTTTGTTAAATTCCTGGTTCGGTTCATTACCTGAGACAATTATATGTGTAATTTCCCTCTGTGTGTTGACATAATTCACTGCCTGTCTGGAGCTTTATTACCTGTATTGATCGTGTATTTGTTTATGTTTGTGATCAATCACCTGATTGAATGTTTTATTTCAGTGAGTGCCCGATTGACATCATGTGTTGCCGATTCAGTGCGGACGGTGCTCACCTTGCTGTGGGACTCTGCGATGGATCAATAAAAGTAAGATCACACAGACATGTTTTCCAAGTAATTACCTCCCACAAGAGAATTGGCAGTGAAGTATTAAACAATCTGTTGGTTTCCAAGGAGACAACAAACATTGACACCTGGTCATGCTGAATTGTATAAGCAATGGAAATCAGGACCCCTTGTCCTAACCCTTAACTTGAAGGATTAAACACTTGAGGACCCTTTGACATTTAAGATTGATGGAGGATATAAAAACACTTCAAAGGCACCAGGACGGCTTTGTAGTATATAAAACAGAGGCTTGTCATTTTCAGGCTAATTTGAAATTGTAACTTGTAATATTTGGGATTACACTTTCTTAGTAAAGTACAGATTCTAGTACTTTTGTTGGGTTGAGTCCCTATCTGGAATTTGAACCCATACTGACAGAGTCAGGCATCTAGTCATCAGCAAAGTCAGCCATATAACCACTCAGCCACTGCAGCTTACACAATTTGCATATGAATCTTTTCTGTAGTGTGACCCTTGTTTTCATAGTATGGATAGATCTAGATTATCTTATACCATGGCCATTATTTGTTGGTATCAGTGATTTTGAAGCCTATAAAAATCAGTAGGACAAATGTCCTGAGTGGGTGTCTGGCGATAGGCCATTGACCTAAAGCTCTTTTGACATTTTTAAATCCCAATGCCATCATATAACTAAATTGTTAATGACATTTAATGTTGCAACTTGGATTCTAGATATACAGCAAAATTAAAAGATCTAATCCCACTGTTGATAAATATGAAATTTATTTTTCTAACATTTTCAAATAATACAACTACAACTTAAATAAATTGAGTTTTTAATGAAAATGCAAGCATTTATAATGTCCAGAAATATCACAAAAGAAGCAAAAACTATGGCGATTTTTTTCCGTTTGTGACATGTCATAACATCCCGTGCCTTTTTCTTTTATATTTTCATTTTACGTAATCAGAAAATTATTAAAAGCCACTGATATCGGGAAATAGGTGACCATACATATTATTTAAGAAATCTTTATAAGTGACCATACATATTATTTAAGAAATCTTTATATTATAAAGATTTCTTAAATATATGTACTATTTAAAATAAGTTCGGCCTAACTACAGTCTCAGTGGTAGGGAGATAGGAAACGTTAAAAAAAAAGGCTTTCTGAGGAGAGATTAGTACAGAAATGAGAAAGCGGTTTTTTTCTAAGTCCAAATCGACTTATGTGGAACAGACCATGGCTTTATGCAAATTAGTGTGTGATGATATTGTATTACAAAGGACACTTTTAAAATACCCATTTTGAAATTAGACTTAGCTTCATCATGTTCATTATAAACGATAGCTGACGTAAAAAATAATAACTTTAAAACTGAAACTATGAAGGATTTAGCTGTCATGGAGTCTCACCATCACTATAAACACAAACAGGTATGAGGGGTTGTCTCAAAAGCAAAACCAGGACGGGTATCGCAGACGGTGGTTGGGGTTGGGCTGGGGGATGGAGATATCAGCTGAGATAAGATAATCCTTTAGGGGAATTAAATTGATTAAGTAAATGCCATGTCAAAACAATTTACAAATAATATCCAGTCCTGTAGATTTTCGGGTGGTCATGCCACCTATGTATTTTGAGACATTTAATACAAAGGCTGATTTAAGCTTTTATATGGGTATCATACTATTTTACATATCTCCACGTAAACTTTATGAAAGAAAGACATGTTAGATGTTAATCAATAGATCACACATATTCAACACACAAAAAAAAGCATAAAATATCTTTGAGATGACCCCTTGTGTCTGTAGGCAACACATGCATTTCATGCCAGGTGAGTCGATGGTCCGTCATCAGACCTGGCCAAGCGATCTCCTAATTGCCATCCATAGTCTGATCTATTGTTTTCAGCAGCTATTCGTATTTTTTCTGAGTTCTGCTCAATTTTACAAGTAAACATGCTTTCCTTAATATCCTATTACGCATCCCACTAAACGCCCAGTTAGGCCGATGTGGGTTATTTCGACAAGCAAGAAATAAATGGAATAACATTAACTGAGGTTGGAAGAAGTACCCAAGTCCGCTTGTTCAGAGATGGGTCATACTTTTTTCAAAGCTATAATATTTAGTACCTGTTACAATTATTTTTCAAAATTCACGAAATGTGCTTAGTTTTAAGGGTAGTGAATTTTCTTTTTGTCATGCAAGTTTTTGTTTGACCATCAATCTTACATAATGAATGAGGAAGAATGCTTGTTGCAAATAGTTAGTACTAGTAGTGTTAAATCAAGGTAGTCTTTTACACCAGTTACAGTTAATGCAGGACACATTTTTATGAATAACAACTTCTATTGAAACTTTATATGCCGTTTCAGAGCTAATTCTTGCTCATTCATCATTTCACCTGATGAATGAGCAAGAATTAGCTCTGAAACGGCATATAAACTATTTAAAGACGTTTTTATCCATAATAAAGTGTCATGTCTTCATGTTCGTCCAACTTCTAAATGCACTTCAAGATTTTAGTTACAGTTACAGTCCGTTTGAGTCAGAAACGGACCAATGAATTGCAAATTTTATCATTGTACAAAATTGTACATCAACTGTTCCAGAACATTTGTCAGTACCCTTGCTGATACTCCTAAAGCTTTTGCTGCCCGCTCACGGAATTTATTAATGGCATAAAATGGTTTGCCCCTTTCGGCTTCAGCACGGAAAAAATCGTACACTTTAATCATCAACTGTTTCACGTCAGCATTCAACTTCATTTTTCATCAGGCATGTGTATCCCGTGCACGACGAGAAAGTGGCTGTTCCATTTCTGCGGTTTCACCCCGCCATGACAGATAACAACTTTTGCGTTTTCAATGATGATAGTTTCTTTAACAACTTTTTTTGGTGGAGTCCGGAAAATTTTCAAATATAAGAAAGCTGTTTGGTATTAGTAAATGATAAACATGTGTACTATTTATATTTATGTGGCAATTTTGTACAGTGATAAAATTTGCAATTCATCGGTCAGTTTCTGACTCAAACGGACTGTAATCAACACCAGTTAAATCAAGGTGGTTTGATTACAAGAAACATGAGTTATTGTCTCCAGATTATTCTAAACAGGAAATAGGATCAACATTTGCTTTAACTTGTGTCACATTTGGCACTTAATTGTGAACATTTCAGCCGATAATATCTGGACATCAATGCTGGAAACCACATTTATTAGTGTCTGTCTTTGTTGAAACTGTTGATTAACAGTCCAGGTGAGCTACAGTGGCATGGCACCATTGTTTTGTCACAGTTCAACTGACGGCAACCGTTACCACCAACATCAACTGAGATTTGTTTTGACACTTTCAACACACATAAAATATAACATAAATATCTGGCATGTCTAATGTTGGAGATTTTATAGTTCCAAGTTCAATGGTGATTGTCTGATAGTCTGTAGAGTTCTTTAAGCATGGTGTTAAACGTGTATCGCTGGATGCCATGTATATCAGCTGCTATTGTCTGTATTGTTTATTTATTTATAGCACTGTTTAACCAAAGGAGTCACAGCCAGAGAAACTCAATACACTCGATACACGCGGAATATAGGCCTGGCCTGCAAGGATTGTTAATCTTTCATTGTTATCCAGAGTCACTGACTGATCTGTGATATAAGTGCCCCCGTTCCAATACAATCCCTGTAATTGACAGAGTTTTATAGCCATTGCACTACAGACAGCTCCGTCAAGTAGACTCAGAAAGTGGATTAAACAAAGCCTGACTGTCTGGACCTGTCTAAGTCCAATGTTTATCTTGTTGTAGGGTTTATTACATGCAGGCCAACAAACAAGCATATTGTTTGCACATCAGTTAAAATTCAATGATAGTTCTTATGACGTATTAACAGACCACTGCCATATAGCTGAAATATTGTGGAGTGCAGTGTTAAACAACCAACCAACCCGCCAAATCTTATGATTGAAATGTGTTCTTATGTTTCTAATTCAAAATGATGGGAAGTGCTAATGCGTAAACGACAGCTGACCCATCAGCCTCATATCAAAGAATCACCTTGGTCAACGAAATACTGATTATCCGTGTGAGTGAACTAACTTGTTGGTACCCAGTTTTGGGGGAGGATCTTCCAGTATCACCATATTATTTCATGAATTACAGACAGTTTGTAATTCTGAGTTCTAAAAATTATATACACATATATATAAAGAAAATCAAAGAAAGGCTAAATATTATCATGGAAAACTTGGTTTAGGTTTGTTACAGAAATGTTAAAAAGGTTACATAGTAATGATAAATAATTTATTGTATTGAAAATGCAAACCTTTACGGGGCTCAATTTAAACATCTGGGACTTTTAGTGGTGCAACTTGAAACTGCAAGATGCAACTTCATGTTTATAACAGAGAACACAGACTTCAGCTGGAAAACAGAGGAACTGGCTTGGAGTAGTGACTCTGATGACTACACAGACAGTGAATGACTGTTACTGTTACACAATATAGCTTGGCTGTAGATTGTTGATTGTGTTTACAATTAATGTATTTACTGAAGAAGATTGATTGAAATCTATCATTTATACGTGTTTTACAAAATACCTATAATTTAGGAATCTAATGACAAAAAAACTATTTTTAAAAATCAAGTTATGACCTGGTTATAATAGTACATGTATCCAGACAGTATTAAGCTGTTTAACACACTTATCTCTCTGAAATTAAAAACTAAGAAACTTCTGGACATGTCTGTTTTCTTGTTACTATGGTAACAGTGTGTCGTTTGTGTTTCAGATCTATAGTCCAGGGACTGGGCAGATGCTGTACAGTCTCACAGATCAGGATACCCAGTGTCATCGTCTCCCCGTCACACAACTCCGCTTCCGGCCATACACCAGCTTCGACAAGCCAGAGTACACACACATCCTCATTGCTTCATGTAGGTACAACTCTCTAGTCTCCCCCATACACCAGCTTCGACAAGCCAGAGTACACACACATCGTCATTGCTTCATGTAGGTACAACTCTCTAGTCTCACCCATACACCAGCTTCGACAAGCCCGAGTACACACACATCCTCATTGCTTCATGTAGGTACAACTCTCTAGTCTCCCCCCCCCCTCCCCCATACACCATCTTCGACAAGCCAGAGTACACACACATCCTCATTGCTTCATGTAGGTACAACTCTCTAGTCTCCCCATACACCAGCTTGGACAAGCCAGAGTACACACACATCCTCTCATTGCTTCATGTAGGTACAACTCTCTAGTCTCCCCATACACCAGCTTGGACAAGCCAGAGTACACACACATCCTCATTGCTCTCCTTCATGTTGCTTTGCTTCATGTAGGTACAACTCTCTTGTCTCCCCATACACCAGCTTCGACAAGCCAGAATACACACACATCCTCATTGCTTCATGTAGGTACAACTCTCTAGTCTTCCCCCCATACACCAGCTTGGACAAGCCAGAGTACACACACATCCTCATTGCTTCATGTAGGTACAACTCTCTAGTCTCCCCAATACACCAGCCGACAAGCCAGAGTACACACACATCCTCATTGCTTCATGTAGGTACAACTCTCTAGTCTCCCCCCATACACCAGCTTCTCGACAAGCCAGAGTACACACACATCCTCATTGCTTCATGTAGGTACAACTCTCTAGTCTCCCCAATACACCAGCTTCGACAAGCCAGAGTACACACACATCCTCATTGCTTCATGTAGGTACAACTCTCTAGTCTCCCCCATACACCAGCTTCGACAAGCCAGAGTACACACACATCCTCATTGCTTCATGTAGGTACAACTCTCTCTAGTCTCCCCCATACACCAGCTTCAACAAGCCAGAGTACACACACATCCTCATTGCTTCATGTAGGTACAATTCTCTAGTCTCCCCCATACACCAGCTTCGACAAGCCAGAGTACACACACATCCTCATTGCTTCATGTAGGTACAACTCTCTTAGTCTCCCCATACACCAGCTTGGACAAGCCAGAGTACACACACATCCTCATTGCTTCATGTAGGTACAATTCTCTAGTCTCCCCCATACACCAGCTTCGACAAGCCAGAGTACACACACATCCTCATTGCTTCATGTAGGTACAACTCTCTTGTCTCCCCCATACACCAGCTTGGACAAGCCAGAGTACACACACATCCTCATTGCTTCATGTAGGTACATTTCTCTAGTCTCCCCCATACACCAGCTTCGACAAGCCAGAGTACACACACATCCTCATTGCTTCATGTAGGTACAACTCTCTGTCTCCCCATACACCAGCTTGGACAAGCCAGAGTACACACACATCCTCATTGCTTCATGTAGGTACAACTCTCTAGTCTCCCCATACACCAGCTTCGACAAGCCAGAGTACACACACATCCTCATTGCTTCATGTAGGTACAACTCTCTAGTCTCCCCCATACACCAGCTTCGACAAGCCAGAGTACACACACATCCTCATTGCTTCATGTAGGTACAATTCTCTAGTCTCCCCCATACACCAGCTTCGACAAGCCAGAGTACACACACATCCTCATTGCTTCATGTAGGTACAATTCTCTAGTCTCCCCCATACACCAGCTTGGACAAGCCAGAGTACACACACATCCTCATTGCTTCATGTAGGTACAGCTCTCTAGTCTCCCTCCCCATACACCATACACCAGCCGACAAGCCAGAGTACACACACATCCTCATTGCTTCATGTAGGTACAACTCTCTTGTCTCCCCATACACCAGCTTGGACAAGCCAGAGTACACACACATCCTCATTGCTTCATGTAGGTACAACTCTCTTGTCTCCCCCATACACCAGCTTCGACAAGCCAGAGTACACACACATCCTCATTGCTTCATGTAGGTACAACTCTCTTGTCTCCCCCATACACCAGCTTGGACAAGCCAGAGTACACACACATCCTCATTGCTTCATGTAGGTACAACTCTCTTGTCTCCCCCATACACCAGCTTGGACAAGCCAGAGTACACACACATCGTCATTGCTTCATGTAGGTACAACTCTCTAGTCTCCCCCATACACCAGCTTCAACAAGCCAGAGTACACACACATCCTCATTGCTTCATGTAGGTACAACTCTCTAGTCTCCCCCATACACCAGCTTCGACAAGCCAGAGTACACACACATCCTCATTGCTTCATGTAGGTACAACTCTCTTGTCTCCCCCATACACCAGCTTGGACAAGCCAGAGTACACACACATCGTCATTGCTTCATGTAGGTACAACTCTCTTGTCTCCCTAAGAAGCGTAGTTAACATGGTCCAGTTGGTAATGAATCCTCTGAGAATAGGGGGACCGTGGTCCAGTTTGAAGACTTGTATGCCTTCAGTGTACCCAAAACTGCTGATTGTGGCTTCAAATCCCAGTCTACTGTGATTATCTTCATAATGTTTAATGGGTTTCACCAAAGTGGTAAATGTGTGTATGGTATAAGATCTGAAATGTTGTCCAGCTTGCTTAAAGCAGTGTAAAACCTAACTCATCATGTTCACTCACTCACTCTAGGGCTACCAAAGACGAACAGTGTCACAGAAAAGTCACTGTTAAAAATGTTTACAGGCCAGTAAGACAAGAGTAGTGAATGCTAAATGTAAGTGACCTGAATAACTTGATGTTTGAGACAGTGATCCAAACCGTGTCTCAGACATCATATCCAGTGAATTCTAGTGTAGATATGTGGACTTATGTTACCTGAGGGTGTCGGGGTGTTATACCCTTTCTCCCTAGGCAATCTGTCCTACCACTCTGGTTCTGGGGATGATGTAGCTAAGATGGATAGTCAAAGATAAGTCCAGTATGGTGTTCAAGTCCATTTATTTTGGAATGAATTCTTTCACAAAGGTCCTCAGATATTTCCTAGCTTTCCTGGTCTACATGCAACACAGGTTCACAAATCTCATGGAAGAACTTGTTGGTTTCTTGTACGACTCCTAAAGTTACATGTTCATCTGAGCCATTCTCTCAATATACAGAGAGAACCTCTCAAGTCAACGGTGGGGTCCAGAATCGCTTCTGTTCCCCTCGAAAATGTGAGAAAAGTCTTCTTTGACAATTTTGGCTCCTCCCCCCGAAATAATGTCCTACCTCATACAAAAATGACTCATATCCAATCTTAATAATTAGTTACTTTCATTAGTCCCCTTCGGAGACTTTATTTGGTACCATCAAATTCTTCCAGTGATAAAATGACATTGCTAGTTATCCTTAAACCATCCATCAACCAAACTTTGACATATCTAACTAATATCTCAGACTGGTAGGCGCCAAAAGATACTTAATCAAATCATTTCAGATCCTATGCGTGCCCCCTTATTGACAAACTGACCAAACTGACCATCTGTATCCCAAATGTCCATCCACCCAATTGTGTAGAAACACCAGTTTGAACCTTTCACTGTCATTTATGTCAATTCAGAGAAATTGTTATTCCCCCAAGAAAAGTGAATCAATAACAGTTCGGTTAGCTTGGTCAATGCACTTTCCCAGTACATTCACCCTTCTTAACTTGACTTCAAATTTTCCTTAAATATTTATAAAATGCATATAATGTTTTCAACTCTAAATATCCTGGTTATACTTACCTAAACTTACTAGACACAGACTGTGTAACCATGGAATGATGGAACTGATGGAATGGTAAGACAGCAATGAACCCAATTCACTCACTCACTTGAAGAAGTTTGTCAACCATCACATATATCCTCAGGCTGTAAGCCAATGGCTTCTGTTAGTTCTCTGTATACTATAAGTATAAAATGTGAAACTTTCACAGGTTGTGTTGTATGTTTTGATACAATACATGGCAGTGGGGTAGCCTAGTAGCTAAAGCGTTTGCTTGTCACACAAAAGACCCAGGTTCAATTGCCCACATGGGTACAATGTGTGAAACGCATTCTTCATGTCCGTCAACCTGATATTGCAGGGTAAAACCATCCTCACTCACTCACTGATACAGTACCCGTTGGGGGCGGTGGGGTAGCCTAGTGGTTAAAGCGTTGGCTCGTAACGCCGAAGACCCGGGTTCGATTCCCCACATGGGCACAATGTGTGAAACCCATTTCTGGTGTCCCCCGCCATGATATTGCTGGAATATTGCTAAAAGCGGCGTAAAACTAAACTCAGTCAGTCAGTCAGTCAGTACCTGTCGGTGTGAAGAACTGACAAATCCTCCCATCTATTGGAGGTCACATCAGATGGACAGTGTGGTCTCTGAGTGTCCATCTTTACCAGCCAATCAAGAGGACAATGTGTGGATGCTGTCTGTAATAATTCAGCTTCATGCCTTTACTCATTGCTACAGAAACCTCTGACATAACAAAAGAAAGCCTACACAGATATTCCCTTACGTTGATGGTATAGATGGGTTTAGATGCTATAGTGCAGGAAACATCATCCTGAAGATGACATCCACACCATCAGTGTAGTGGGACCTATTGCGTTGTGCATCTGCAGAGCTCCAGATAAGATTTAGCTCATGTGGGTACTGTACCCACTATTTTTTTGGAGTGGGTCTTATGAATGTTGAGTGGGTATTTCATTTTCCGTTACCCACTGCATTCAAATATGTGCGTATTTCAGTCATTTTACTCACCTAAGTATTATGTAACTGAGTAAGTTTACTAAGCAGGTATGTTCTGCCTTATGTCATACCTAATCAAAACCAACTTTAATATAATGGAAATGATTTCATAAAACAATCACTCATCCTATACTGACAGTACAACACTTGTCCTATACTAACAGTACAACTTGATAGCACTCCATGTCTTTTTCATTACGAAAGCGATTTTTATAAATATATTCCGTACGCATTTGTTTTAAACTTTTTGCATATCTAACAGTTTAAATGCGTAATTCGTACGCAACAATTATTTTTCAATGCGTAATTGGAAATTTTCTATGCGTATTTTACCCGGATATGCAGCTTATCTGGGCCCCTGCATCTGTATGTTTGTTTTTAAGATACGAAAATCGAATCTCTGAAAGTTTCACCTGGTCATACATAGAAAAAGGAAGCCTGACACTGATTTAGGATTTAGATTACCTCATCAACTCTTGTTGAGTATTGGTGTAACAGATTTCAGTTAGGCACTATACCTGATACATGTCTTCTGTACATACAGATGCATCAGGTCACGTCAAATTCTGGCACTACACGTCCGGTAAATGTCTTCACACCATCAATGAGATCCGCCAGGTCTTGGCTCTGGCCCTCAACCCTGACGGAACGCACTTCCTCACCGCCGGAGCAGACCCTGAAATACACCTGTATGATATCGAGACCAAGAAACTGAAGAAAACATTTGAACCCAGGTAACATTGCCTTTCATTAAATCTGGTTTAAAACATTATTGTTGCCTATGATGATCAGTTGTTTGACAGCACCCGTTGTTGTGTGGCCTCCTCACAGAAGTAAACTTTGAACTTTGAACTTTCCACACACTGGTACCTGACACTGAACACAGCAATATATTACCTGTAGGGCGATGGTCTGCAAATAGTCCTGTTTGACCCATACAATCCAGTGATTGACATTTTGAGCAAAGATCCAAACCGTGGTTTAAATCTGGCCACAACAGCAGTATTTCAACCATTTACTGCCACTGATTATTTCTACAAATATATTTACAACAAAATTTCTCACACAATATACTACTACAATACTGGACAAACTTTCCATTTCATTCGAAGAGGGTCATAAACTTGATTCTGAAATGGGTACCAGTTTTCTATTCTCTATTTTACCAACCTTTTTTTTAATCAGTTTTCAACCAACTTTTGTATCCATACACTATGTATGCTAAGAAGTTGGTACAAATACACTGTGAAGAAAGTAGATCCAAATCACTGCTCTCTGTAAATGTCTCCTTCTCAGAGACAGTTAGACAATGAAGCTGAAACTTCACGTTTGTTCCATCAAATGTTGACACCTGAAATTGTTAAAGACCTTGAAGACAGTTTTTCAATATGGCCAGCATGGCAGCCATATTGGAAATGTATTTAAGGCCATTGTATGTATGACTTTTACTTAGTGTTATGGAACGTTTCAGTGATGCTCGAGACATTATGGATGGCCATCGGTTCCGAGTATTTGCTGCCCAATTCAACCCTAATCAACCGGACCTGTTTATCACTGGTGGATGGGACGATACCGTTCAGGTAGGTTGACTGCATAGACGCCATTGGCCTCATGGACAGGCTAAGGTTTGATAGAGTTTGCAGGTTTGAAATAAATCTATTTTTTCACTTGTCCTTGAGAAATGATATGCTGTAAAGTTGTAATGCACCTGATGGCCAAACTAGGTTGTTGATATGAAATGTCACTAGTTAATCCCTAATGTTACTAGTCTTTGACTAGCAGACTGGCAAGAGTCGCAACTGCATTGGCACACATTTTAGTAGTTAAGGTGCCAATTGGCAACACTCAAGAAAATCCTGGCTGAAGCACTGCAAGTGGCAAGTTAAACTTTGTGCTGCAAGGCTTGAGATGATGATGGAGAAGTTGTTCATGCTGCATCAAGCTCAGACTGGATGTTTGCTATTATAGATTCTTGTTGCATGTTTCAGTATTGGGATGTGAGAGTTCCACATGGCCATGCCGTCAAGTAAGTCGTGTTATCCAAGAAAATCACTCCCATCAATCAGTGAGTGCACCACTAGCCTGCCATCTGTCTGCCCAACAGTTTATCTACCAGCACAACCCTCCTACAACTGATCAATCCACACATGAAACTTCCAGCTGTGAATCTATGCCCATACCAAACAGCCCATCTTCTAAACCATCTAACAACCGATCCATCCACCTTCCTGAACCTCCCAAATTCAATCCGTCCACTTCCTCAACGTTCTAACAACCAGTCCAGCCATCTACACAACTATCCTACGGACAGGCCATCTATATAACTATCGAAACACTAATTCATTGATCTACCCAACGATTGAACAACTAATCCATCCATCTATCATTGTATCATCATGCAACTACCCCATCAACAATTCCATCTGTTCATTAACCCAGTCATCCTTCAAACCATCCACCTCACCCCACATACCCATCAACCAGACCATCCACCCCACATACCCATCAACCAGACCATCCACCTCACCTCACATACCCATCAACGTCGACCATCCATCCTCACCTCACATACCCATCCATCAACCAGACAATCCACCTCACCTCACATACCCATCAACCACCATCAACACCTCACCTCTCACATACCAATCAACCAATCCATCACCTCACCCCACATACCCATCAACCAGACCATCCACCTCACCTCACATACCCATCAACCAGACCATCCACCTCGCCCCACATTCCCATCAACAAATCCATCCACCTCACCCCACATACCCATCAACCAATCCATCCATCTCACCTCACATACCCATCAACCAATCCATCCACCTCACCTCACATACACATCAACCAGACCATCCACCTCACCCCACATACCCATCAACCAATCCATCCATCTCACCTCACATACCCATCAACCAGACCATCCACCTCACCTCACATACCCATCAACCAATCCATCACCTCACCCCACATACCTATCAACCAATCCATCCACCTCACCTCACATACCCATCAACAAGACCATCCACCTCACCCCACATACCCATCAACCAATCCATCCACCTCACCCCACATACCCATCAACCAGACCATCCACTCACCCCCACATACCCATCAACCAGACCATCCACCTCACCTCACATACCCATCAACCGACCATCCACCTCACCTCACATACCCATCAACCAGACAATCCACCTCACCTCACATACCCATCAACCAGACCATCCACCTCACCTCACATACCAATCAACCAATCCATCACCTCACCCCACATACCCATCAACCAGACCATCCACCTCACCTCACATACCCATCAACCAGACCATCCACCTCGCCCCACATTCCCATCAACAAATCCATCCACCTCACCCCACATACCCATCAACCAATCCATCCATCTCACCTCACATACCCATCAACCAATCCATCTACCTCACCTCACATACACATCAACCAGACCATCCACCTCACCCCACATACCCATCAACCAATCCATCCATCTCACCTCACATACCCATCAACCAGACCATCCACCTCACCCCACATACCCATCAACCAATCCATCCACCTCACCCCACATACCTATCAACCAATCCATCCACCTCACCTCACCTCACCCATCAACCAGACCATCCACCTCACCCATCTACATACCCATCCAACTCACCCCCAATACCCATCCACCTCACCCACATACCCCATCAACCAGTCCATCCACCTCACCCCACATACCCATCAATCAATCCATCCACCTCAACCAACATACCCATCAACCAATCCATCCACCTCACCCCACATACCAAATATCAACCAGTTGGTCCATCCATCTCAGGACTGGTCACTCGAGTCAATATCATGTGTCTGGGTGGACCATCCACCTCACCCCACATACCCATCAACCTATCAAACCAGCTTAAGTCTGGGCTAGTACAATACCTATCACCAATACACGCATCACCTCGCATTCATATGAGCGAAATGTTCTCAAAGCACAACGTTAAACCCATCACATCAATCAACCAGACTCATCCACCTCTACCCCACATACCTATCAATCAATCCAACTAATCCATCCATCCATCACCTCACATACCCATCAACCAATCCATCCATCTCACTCTCATTATGCCCATCCATCCTCCACCTCTCCTCACATACCCATCAATCAATCCATCCACCTCACCTCACATACCCATCAACCAGACCATCCACCTCACCTCACATACCCATCAACCAGACCATCCACCTCACCTCACATTCCCATCAACCGACCATCCACCTCACCTCACATACCTATCAACCAATCCATCCACCTCACCTCACATACCCATCAACCAATCCATCCACCTCCAAATACCCATCAACCAGACCATCCACCTCACCTCACATACCCATCAACCAGACCATCCACCTCACCTCACCCATTAACCAATCCATCCAACTCACCTCACATACCCATCTACCAATCCATCCACCTCACCCCACATACCCATCAACCAGACCATCCACCTCACCCCACATACCCATCAACCACTCCATCCACCTCACCCCACATACCCATCAACCAGACCATCCACCTCACCTCACCTCACATACCCATCAACCAGACCCGATTTCTGTGATGTAGTGAGTTAGAGCGAAGGTCATGGGTTCGATCCCCACCGGCCATACCAAAAGACATTCAAATATGGTACTTGTTGGTCCTGCTCTGGCGGCATTAATGGGTACAACAAGGACTGGTCGTTCTCGAGTCATTATAATGTGTCTGAGGGGGGTATTCATGTTTCACTGCAGCGTGGTATCTCAGTGGGCTAGCACTATCAAACCAGCTTAAGTCTGGGCTAGTACAAGCAGCCAGCACACATGCATACTGATGCATGCTGCCATATGAGCTAAATATTCTCAAGCACAACGTTAAACCCAATTTCACATCACATCAAGCCAAACCATCCACCTCACCCCACATACCCATCAATCAATCCATCCATCCCACATACCCATCAACCAATCCATCACCTCACCCTACATACCTATCAACCAATCCATCCATCTCACCTCACATGCCCATCAACCAATCCATCCACCTCACCTCACATACCCATCAATCAATCCATACCCATCACATCATCAACCCATCCATCCTCACCTCACATACCCATCAATCAGACCATCCACTCACCTCACATTTCCATCAACCCTACTCCACCTCATCATTTCACATACCATCAACCAATCCATCCACCTCACCTCACATACCCATCAACCAATCCATCCCACCCTAAATACCCATCAACCAGACCATCCACCTCACCTCACATACCCATCAACCAGACCATCCACCTCACCTCACCCATTAACCAATCCATCCAACTCAATCTCACATACCCATCTACCAATCCATCCACCTCACCCCACATACCCATCAACCAGACCATCCACTCTCACCCCACATACCTATCAACCACTCCATCCACCTCACCCCACATACCCATCAACCAGACCATCCTCTCACCTCACATACCTATCAACCAGACCGACCGTGGCCTCTGTGATGTAGTTGTTAGAAGCGGAAGGTCGTGGGTTCGATCCCGAGCCACGGCGTCATACCAAAAAGACATTCAAATATGGTACTTGTTGGGTCCTGCCTCATGCGGCATTAATGGGGTACAACAAGGACTGGTCGGGTTTCGAGTCAATATAATGTGTCTGAGTGGGGGGTATTCATGCTTCACTGCAGTTGCAGTATCTCAGTGGGCTAGCACTATCAAACCAGCTTAAGTCTGGGCTAGTACAAGCAGCTGCACATACACATACACTGCGATGCATCGCTGTCATATGAGCGTAAATATTCTCAAGCACAACGTTAAACCCAATTTTCACATCACATCAACCAGACCATCCACTCTCACCCCACATACCCATCAATCAATCCATCCACCCCACATACCTATCAACCAATCCATCACCTCACCCCACATACCCATCAACCAATCCATCCATCTCACCTCACATGCCCATCAACCAATCCATCCATCTCACCTCACATGCCCATCAATCAATCCATCCACCTCACCTCACATACCCATCAACCTTGGACCATCCACCTCACCTCACATACCCATCAACCAGACCATCCACCTCACCTCACATTCCCATCAACCGACCATCCACCTCACCTCACATACCCATCAACCAATCCATCCACCTCACCTCACATACCCATCAACCAATCCATCCACCCCAAATACCCATCAACCAGACCATCCACCTCACCTCACATACCCATCAACCAGACCATCCACCTCACCTCACCCATTAACCAATCCATCCAACTCACCTCACATACCCATCTACCAATCCATCCACCTCACCCCACATACCCATCAACCAGACCATCCACCTCACCCCACATACCCATCAACCACTCCATCCACCTCACCCCACATACCCATCAACCAGACCATCCACCTCACCTCACCTCACATACCCATCAACCAGACCGACCGCCTCTGTGATGTAGTGGTTAGAGCGGAAGGTCGTGGGTTCGATCCCCGACCGCGTCATACCAAAAGACATTCAAATATGGTACTTGTTGGTCCCTGCCTGGCGTTCGGCATTAATGGGTACAACAAGGACTGGTCGGCTCGGAGTCAATATAATGTGTCTGAGTGGGGGTATTCATGCTTCACTGCAGCGTGGTATCTCAGTGGGCTAGCACTATCAAACCAGCTTAAGTCTGGGCTAGTACAAGCAGCCGCACATACACATGCACACGCATGCACGTCGTCATATGAGCGAAATATTCTCAAGCACAACGTTAAACCCAATTTCACATCACATCAACCAGACCATCCACCTCACCCCACATACCCATCAATCAATCCATCCACCCCACATACCCATCAACCAATCCATCACCTCACCCCACATACCCATCAACCAATCCATCCATCTCACCTCACATGCCCATCAACCAATCCATCCACCTCACCTCACATACCCATCAATCAATCC